AACACTGTTCAGGACCACTAGTATGCATGTAAAGGCATCATGTATATTCTGAATGATAAATGTGAGTGCAAGAATTAGCTTTTTATGCACACCTAGTCACCTACAATCTAAGAAAGAGTAAATAAAAAAGTAAAACAAGTTCAAGTTAATCATGTAACAAACTAATATTCTAGCATTTAAACTGGAGTTCTTAGAATAAAAAAAAAAAATCACAATTCAAACAAACAGATACAAGTAGATTAATAAAAAGATCTTAATGGAAGCAAACTGGTTCATTACCCTTATTCTCATTCCCAGAATAGAAGTGCAAGAGTAAGGTCTACTAATTCCAACCATTATTTACAAGAAAACTCAATGACTTCCACGTCTCAGGGCTAAGACTATATTGCAGTTCCTTCTAAGTCACCTACAGCAAGACTGTGTCTAGACTGGCAAGTCTTTCCACAAAAGCAGTTGCTTTTGCAGAAAAACTTGCCAGCTGTCTACACTGGCCGCTTGAATTTCCGCAAGAACACTGACGATCTCATGTAAGAAATCAGTGCTTCTTGCGGAAATACTATGCTGCTCCCGTTCGGGCAAAAGTCCTTTTGTGCAAAGCTTTTGCGCAAGAGGGCCAGTGTAGACAGCTCAGATTTGTTTTGCGCAAAAAAGCCCCGATCGCGAAAATGGCAATCAGGCCTTTTTTTGCAAAAGCGCGTCTAGATTGGCACGGACGCTTTTCCACAAAGTACTTTTCCGTTAAAAGCATTTGCGGAAAATCATGCCAGTCTAGATGTAGCCCAAGTGTAAAGGTAGCTTGAGTTAAGCCAGAAGAAATCCTTGCCACAAGTCAATTGCTATTGCCTACCATATCAACCTTTTATTGTGCAAGCAGTGTGATCTAAGGAAAAAACAACTATTAGCCAAGATGATGCAACCCAGTATTCTGGGGGTCCCTAGCCTCTGTCAGATGCTGTGAGTGGAGAACAGGGGATGGATAACACAATTGCCTGGCCTGTTAATTTCCTCTATAGCACCTGGCATTGGCCATTATCAGACAACTGGATACCAGGCTAGATGGACCAATGGTCTGACCCATCATGGCCATTCTTATATTATGTGTTCTGTATGAGCTAGTAGGCTCTCTGAATTTAAGGGGAAAGGTTTGCAGGACAAGGTCATTATCTCTCCTCCATAGGCCTGCATTGAAATCTTCACAGAACAGGGCTTAAGCTATCAGAAGTGCACCCTTCTGGCCAACCACTCCCCTCGATAGAGTGTCTTGTCGCCAATAATTCTTTTGCTTTCTGGTAAGTAAAATATGAAAGTTATTTTCAGCCAGTGACAGACAAGCTACTAGTATATGTGGTTTATGAGGAAAAAACAAACAGAAAAACCCCCATACATCCGAGAGCCTTTTAAGGGGAATTTTTCCAATGAACCATAGCTTATTGTTTGAAAACAAACTGGCACCAACTGTTTAATGTAGCAAATAGGAGTATAGCCATTGGTGTTGTGAAGTGAACCAATTTTGACAGGTGAGGGTGGGTTGGAAGCAGTTGTCAAAGTCTGTAAGATCCTTCTCTTACACATCTCAGAGTTGTCGTCTAAAAGAAGTGATTGAGATAGGGCAGCAGGGCAAAAGTTTTTATTATTGTATGAATCAGGAGAATTTTCCTAAGATATGGAAAACTTCTTCCATTCATAGCTGGGCATTACCACTTTTTTTTTTTTTTAGAGATTGCATTACACGCTTGTGGGAGCTATAGCAGTTACTTACATGCAATAGATGCATTTGTTTTGACTACATTTTAGAGATACTATTGCTAGAAAAACCAGACCATGGCAGCCAGCCAGAGGTCCGCAGACCTAGATTCCCAAGCAATAGTGCTTAATTGGCCAGAATACTTACTTGTTCACTGCGAGAGGAAAATAAAGTTTCAGAAACAGAGTAATGAAGAGCTAGTAGAGCCAACCACATGCTTCACTGTAGTGTACCTATGAATAGGGACAGAAAAATCTTGATGTCCGTTATTTACCTGAATTATCCAGGCCCATCTCATATCTCCACTGAGTGTTAATCATTAAACACTCCAAGAAGTTTATGATGATACCAAGACAATTCCTTGATGCCACTGCCCCTCCCCCCCCTCCCACACACACACACACACTCACACTGTAAAGTTTGTCATTTTTGCAATGCTGGAAGTAGCTGCAAAGGAGACCAAGATGCTCACAATAACAGTACTCATTCCCTCAGAGCAGAGTTTTAAAAATGAACATTTCCCATTTAGTAATTCATATTTTATGATGCAACCAGACAGGTAGACTAATAAATTTACTCTAAAGCAGGAAAGTTCACCGAAAAGGACTAGGAAGTCATCTCACTCCTTACTTTTGGAAGAACAAGTTTTGTTTTATAATAATATTAGCCTTGCTTCCAGGAAAGATAAAATGGAAGAACTTTTTGCCCTATGAAATTGATGAGCGAGATTTAACTAGTTAGTATTTTATGTCCCTAGGTTAGATGTTAGGCTAACCTAACATTTACCTGATTAACCAACTAAGCAGGATTCCCACATGGGACGCTGCTCCCAGGGAACTGATTAACCATTTCCTGGTAGATCACCACACAGTTAGGGTGATGCTTACAGGGTGACTGGCAGTCACATCCTTAATCCAACCTAACATTTATTGGTTTACAGTTGCAAAATAAATTCCAAATGTATAAATTGAACATATTTAGATTTAATTTATTCACTGCAATTGTCAAGGAAGGCTCATGTTTGTTCAGTCACGGAGCTAACAGCCTCTGTAGGCCCCTGGGCAAGATGCCAGCCCACCACACTACCCAGAGCATACCCCCCCTCCTCCCAGAGCTGCACAGCGCAGTGCTCTGGTGGGGATTTAAAGGGCCTGGGGTAGTAGCAGCAACAGCCAGGAGCCCCAAGCCTCTTTGAATCAGCCCCCAAGGCGCCTGTACCCTTTCCCCTCCATTCTTCCTTCCCTCAACTGTCTGCTCATTCTTGAGTGTATACTGTTATCAATTAACTAGTTAAGCTTTATTTCCCTGTTCTTCCCCCCCCCCCCCAAAAAAAAAAACAACCTTGACTGGGTCCAAACATTTTCTTAATTGAGAATAAGTAAGTGCTGCTTTTCAGACAGTTGTCATGACTACTAGCTGGAAGTTGACACTTGCAAGGCTAACAGCACAGCTCCAGACAGAGCCACATTATGTGTTTAATTGGAACATTTAAAAAAGCTATTTGGACAACTGGTACTATTATTGTTTACAATGAGAGTTTTTCAAGTGTGCCTGTGTACTTGATGCACTCCTCTTGAAGCTTAAGCGTATCAGTCCAAAATTTCTTGCCAAACCACTTCAAGAGTATGCCCCCAGCCAGATAAATATATTAACATTAACTAATGTTAACTGGTTTAGAGACTGGTTTATCTTAATAGTATAAGCCAGAGGAAAGTTTTCTAGAGCCCTTTTTGAACAGTTTTCCAAACTAGGTAGATGGAAAGTAGATAGGGCTTGATAAGGCATTTAGGAATGGCTTGATAAGGCATTTAGGAATGGTTAATGTCCAAACTATCATAGAAGCCAGCCTCTGCATCTTGGACTCTACCCCCAGATATCTATGCGGCAGACACCCCTTTGGACCCAATTCTTATCCAAATATGCCTGATTACCAATAGGGTCTACTTTGAATCCTGAGATTACACAAATGTCAGGGTTCAACATGAAATCTGAAGGTATGTGGTTTGCACTTTTTTTTTTTAAAAGAGTCATGATCCTACAGAAAGTTATCCTACATTGACCAAGCACAATAACCTTTAAAAGTTAAGCTTTGATAAGCTTTCTGAAAGTGGTAGAATATTTGAGAACTAGTGGCTTCAACTTAATCCAATCCTTTTAAGGAAGCCCTTAAAAAGCTAATTTTCCTTATTATGTATCCAAGACAGCTTTGACTGTTAAAATGAATGCTGCATAAGTTCATACACCACATGAGGCACTCAGGTTCTAGTGTTAAGTTCTTAGCTGTATTACTAAGCCATTGTAAAAGACATCTAGTTACCTATATCATGCTATTTACTTGCTTAAATTTATAACATTATTTTAGTTTGCACACAGAGGGCCCAAGAGATAAATTAACTGCAAGATGATTTAGTCAAGCCCTGAAAAGGAGTACCTAATATCACAATGGATTCTAGTCCCTTCAATGTTTAACTAGAGGTGGTCAATTTTTGATGGGGGGGGCCCCCCTTCAAAGATTTGCTTAGTGATCAAGGGCCACACTTTTCTATCATACTGAAGGAGGTGGGGTGCAAAAGGAATTGCAGGGTAAGGGATTATGGCAAAGGAGGGAGTCTGAGCTGGGGCTGGAGGGAGGGGGGCTGGAAAAGGTTTGGGTGAAAACCTGGGGTAGGTGGAGACGGTGACCTATTGCTGGAATGCCAGATGCAGGCTCTGGCCAGGGGGTATTTATCTAGGCTTTTCCCAGCTAGCAGCCTAGAGGGACCTCACACAGGCTCCCAACTTCTGGGTACACATGCCTCTGCGTGAGGTGCGGGAGCAACTTCATGTGCTGCTTCTGCTCACAACACAATCATTACAAACTCCATTGGCTGGAAATCAGGATGTGTGGCAACTAGAGGCATATGGACCCAGCAGCCAGCTGTTTTGAGTAGCCTGCAGCTGTAGCAGGCAGGTAGCCTGCCTGAGGGTCCCAAAAGGCCACAAGCCATATCTTGCCTAACCTTGTTCTAGTGTCTCTCTATACCAGGAAAAGGGAACTCTTATTACAAGGACTTGAGTGGACTACTGAGATTATAGATCTTCATCTGAAGAAGTAGGTTATGCCCACAAAAGTTCATGACACCATCTATGTTTTGTTGTCTAAGGTGCTGCTAGAAGCAGAGGTTGTTGAATTTGACAGACTTTTACTGACATGGTCACATCACTAAAAGTCTACCAACATGACAAGTTGACACTTTAGCCAACAAAATACTCCTACCCCCTGGAAGCAGGGTTCCTGTTGTCACAGCAGAGTACTCCTGCAGATACAGAACTGTTCACACTACTACTTGCGACAGCAAAAGTCTTTTTCATCCGTTGGTGGGCTTTTCTTAAAGCACCTGTGAACCACAGAATTTTGTCATTCAATTGGCAATACAGCTAGAGCGCCAGATAATAACAAGGAGTCACTTTCAGAGTGACTTCTGAGATCCCAATTTGACAGCATCACTAGGCAATTGAACATCACCAGATGTGGATCTGGATCTAGGACTCCTCCTCTTACTGAAGCTGAGCAAAACACCTTCTAGAACAGTATCTCAGCCATTGTGATACCGAGGGCCAGCTTGCGGCTAACCAGTGCCCGGGAGATTCCCAGAGACGTGGGCCTGGCCCTTACGGAGCAATACTCCTCTAGAAAAGGAGACGCAGGTCCCCTCCCACAAAGCTTGCGCTCTTTTGTTCACATAGTGCAGGTTTTTTCCTCGGGGCGTGCAAGCTCCCTGGTGCCTCTCTCCTGCAGCGATCCCGTGACGCGCAGAGCCGGTTTTCACGCTCGCCAGCCGGAGACAGGAACAGAGACGTGGGCCTGGCCCTTACGGAGCAATACTCCTCTAGAAAAGGAGACGCAGGTCCCCTCCCACAAAGCTTGCGCTCTTTTGTTCACATAGTGCAGGTTTTTTCCTCGGGGCGTGCAAGCTCCCTGGTGCCTCTCTCCTGCAGCGATCCCGTGACGCGCAGAGCCGGTTTTCACGCTCGCCAGCCGGAGACAGGAACCTGCCAGCCCAGTGGCCTCCAGCATTAGCGCATCCCCGGCACGGAAGCGGGAAGAA